AAGCTAGAGTATGGCTTTGTCCAACTTTATCTGGGAATGCGCACATCAGGTAACTCAAAATTCTCACCTTTTTGTGCATTATCTGCAAAGGATTGAGAACATGCCTCAGGTATTGGTTTTGAGGCTACAAATATATTTTAGCAATTTTGCAAATATTGTATCCAAAAATGAGGATCCACTGTAATTGCTTCTTTAGTATGTCTTTCTTGCTTTATAAACTTACAATAAGGCTTCCTGAGGGAAGAACCAGCTCTTGTCAAGGCATTTCTTTCTCATCCTTGAGGTCTCTGCTCAAATGTCAATTTCTCTCTTTGCCACTATACTGACTAAAATTAATTAACTCAAATAATCCATGTGTTTGGCTCCTGCATGTTCTACAGAATAAACAGATATATACCTTTCTGTTTTATTCTTGCTACCACAGGACAGTAAAGATTCTCTCGGTGAGTAAGAGTGGTGGGAGAATGTAATCTGATGAATGAGTCTGTAATAACTCTCTTTTCTCTACTTCCAGACCACTCCAACTGACAGTTCTTATTTCTTATTCCCCTCTGTCCCTCACCCCAAAGGTCAGACCCTTTACTTACGAAGACAGGTGGCTTCATACAATCATCAGTCAATTCTTCCATTAATTTCTCCAGGTTTCTGCCATTTGATTCCCATTTCTCTTTCAAAGTGGACCTGTCACTGCAGTGGCCACTAATAATAAACTGCTCTAGGACCAATTGAGAAATAATTTCATCTTTGCTGTGCTTTTCTGGCTGCAGCCATGAGTGAAAAAATTCATGGAGTCTTTGCAGTTCCTGCTTTGCAAATGAGTTATTGCTGTTTTGAAATGAGTTGAGCTGAGTACTTGAGCACTCAGAGATCCCCTCTTCCCTCTGGACAGCAGTTCCCTGGGTTGGTTTAAACTCCATATTTTCTGACTCAAGATCATTTCTGGATGGTTCACATTGGAATGAGATTCTGAGATCTAAAGCCATTCTTAGCGATAGTTCTCAGAGGGGTTCGACTTTGACAATTCAGTCTCTACTGTCTGTGTCTCTGGGGATCTGTTTCAACAATTGGTAGATACTTAAAGACTGAAAGATAAAAGTAGAAAAGATATGTAATTAATTGCACTGTTGGCTTAATTAAAGACAAATCCATCAAAATTTCAGGTCCAGGTGGATTCATGGATGAATTCTACCAGATGTTAAAAAAAGAAATAACTCTAATTTCACACAAACTCTCCCAGAGAAAAAGAAAAAGAGGAAACACTACCCATTTTAGTTATTGAGATCAGCACTTCTCTGATAACAAAGACAAGTACATTAAAATTATCGAAAGCAAATATTTGCAAATCAAATTCACTCACATATAAGGAGAACAGTAGAGCACAAACAAGTGGTGCTCATTTTCAAAATGCAAAATGTTGGCTAAAAATTCAGTTCTATTTACTACATTAATACAATGTAGAAAACATGGTATAATTATCTCAATAGATATATTAAAAATGTTTGATAAAAATCAGTACTAATTCCTAAAATAGGCATTTAATAAAACAGGAATATAAGGAAACATCCTTGATGTGAGAAAGTTTTTACAAAATAACTACAGCAAAAATTATTCTTCTAGTTTTCCGCTTGAGCTTGAGAGGTAGATGTCCTCTATCATCTCTATGAAACATTGGACTGTTCTCTAACCAGTGAAATCAGGGGGAAAAATATCAAATGACATTATTTATAGAAATACTAATTTTGTTTAGCAAAAAATATTAGCCCAAGTGAATTTAACAAGATACCCAACACAAGGTCAATATACCAAAGTAAACTAAATCTTATATTACTGTGTTATCACAAACAGTTAAGATTTTTTGAAAAAAAAATCTTTTTTTTACCTACATTATCATTAAACATCAATATCTAAGAACAAATCTTAACAAGATATGCAGAACCTCTACACAGATAATTACAAAGTATTAATAAATATATTGAGAGAGAAGCCATGCCCATGAATTGGAAGGCTCAGTGTTATTAAAAAAAAAAAAAGTCAATTAACTCCAAGTTCCTATATACATTCGATGAAATCGACAGAAAGAATCCAGAACTACAAATTCAGGGTTTTTTTTTTTTTTCCTTGTGCGTGAAAATTGACAAGCTGATTCTAAGGGCAAAAACAAACTAAAAACGAAAAATAAATTTAAATTCTCCTTCGTTCAAAAAGGAAGAGACTCTTATCCCCTTCCCTTTTCTTAGAGCATTTACTTTAGAAAACTTGTGATTATGAATTCTTTTTCTGCCCATCTGTTATGTACGTAAAACCTTTTAAAAAGCTAAATAAACCTTTTGCCAGTTTTACAAGCCAGGAATGTTTTTCTCAAAGACCCAGGAGCTATTGTTTTGAAATGTAATCACTAAGGAAGACAGGGCCCCTATTTCGCAGTTTCTGTGGGATGGTAGGAGCCTAACTTCAGCTGGTGCCTGGTTTCAAGTTGCAAACCTACCTCAAAGACATACAAAAATGTTGGCATCATTATAATTTATAATGTTCCTAAACTTCAATCTAAATGTGTAATATTATATGGGATAGATTGTGATTTATTCATATAAAGAGGTATTTGACAGTAATGAAAATAAATGAACAACTGCTTCCCAGAACAACCTGGATTAATCCCAAATCATAATGTAGACCGAAATAACCCAGACACTAAACAATACATTTTGCTAATCCCTATAAGTGTAAATTCAAAAGTTATTTTTGGGGCCGGCCCATGGCTTGCTTGGGAGAGTATGGTGCTGGTAACACCAAGGCCAAGGGTTCGGATCCCTATATAGGGATGGCTGGTTAGCTCCTTGGGAGAGCGTGGTGCTGACAACACTAAGTCAAGGGTTAAGATCCCCTTACCAGTCATCTTTTAAAGAAAAAAAAAAGTTATTTTTGGAGCAATAGAAGAGACTGGAGTGGTTGTATGGAGGGCTTCATAGAAGGCCCCTGTCTCAATATGAACTAATGGGAATTCCTA